CGGCCTGCGCTCCGTCCCCTCCTGCGCACAACCGCCCGGTGAGGCAGCCGCGCCGAGCTCGGCTGCGCCCGCGCGCCCCCGATGCCTCCCGGCGCCGGCCCCGACCCGCGAGAGCCCGCCGCCGCCAAGGCGCCCTGCCGGGCTGGGCGTGCGGGCGGCGCGCGTCCCGCGGGATGCCTTCGACTCCTGCCCTCGCACTGCGCGCTCCCCGCGAGGAGGCCTGGCTCGCTCGAGCCTCTCCCTGTCCAGGCCGCGCAGTTCTCCCTTCGCAAGGGAGCGGGGCGGGATGCGGCTCGATCCTTTCGTTCTCACGTTACCATTCACATGCTATGCCACCCTTCCCAAAGCCAGCGCCCTCCAGATGTGTGGGACTACAGTTCCCAACGTCCTGGGAATGCTGGCACATCTGAAGGACCCTCAGCTCGGACGGGCCATTCTCCTCACAGCCTCCAGCAGGCCGGGCGGGCGAGCACGGGGCCCCCCAGCCTTGGTCTCCGTGGGGATCGGGGGACACACGGCTGCCGTGCTCTAGCAACACGCCCCGGCGGAGCTTTACCTGTGGAGCGGAGAGGGCCGTAACTTCGCCACGTGGCGTTCCCCGAAGCCTGGCACGGACAAAGCTGATGGGGGGGAGCCTCGGGACACGCTGGGGAGCGGCCGCTGCCTCTCTTTGATGCACCTGTGGTCCCCTGATGGTAACGGAGGGTCTCTTCTTTCTGGTCTCTCCCCAGGCAAGCTCGGCTCTGTCCTTTCCCAGGTGCGTAGTGACCCCAGCACAGCTGCACCGCAGCTCATAGAGCTGCTTAGGTGAATGAGACCTTTCAAGGTAGGCGCCTTACCCAGTAATTCTGATTTGGATGCACACAGCTGGGCTGTGAAGGCACCTTTCACCTGCTCCTCCTCCCACAGCAGTCCCTCCAGCCCCCTGAAAATGATCTGCTGGAGGCCAGGGACCCTCTTCAGTGGGGTGAGCTGGGGCAGAAGGGGGAGCTCCCCCCGTTTGCCAGAGACACCTGCAGAGCTGCCCTCCTTTCCACGAAAGGCCATTTGCCTGTGCTGCCGTTGCCGCTCCCCCAGCAGATGGCAGAACTTTTAACGCTGCAAAGCAGAGTTTTGACGGAGCTCTCCTGCTGCGCCCCGAGGGTCTCTTTACAGGCTGAGAGCCCGTCAGTACACATGGGGCTGAGTCTAGGCAGCAGGCAGGGCAACGCTCCGGGGGGGACTCCAGGGGATGCAGACTGGGGCCAATTAGGTTTGGGCTGTGTAAGCAGCAACAGTGACATCCAGTGTTAGAAACCCACTCCAGGTTTTCTGGCTCCTGAAATTAGCAAATGAAGTTATGGGTGTGGGGAGAGAGATTGCCCTGGGTGCCCCCTGAGTGCAGAGCGGCTCCCTTCCAAAGCATCTGCGAAGGTGAAGCCAGGCTTGGGCTGAACGCGCACACACGCACGCGCACACAGTGCATCTGGTGGAGCAGTGCAAACAGCTGCGGCAGAATTTGTTGCTCTGTGGTGGCGATCCACTCCGGAAGATGGGCCGCTCCGGAAGATGGGCTCTAGGGATTTGGAACAGTTTTCCAGGCTCGGAAAGGATTCTGGGATTTTTTTCCCATTTTAAATCAAAAGCCATTGGCTGGTATTCTAAAACTGGTCCCAGCTGACCAAGAAATCAAACACTTGCGTCCCTCTTCAGTTAACGAGCCGCATGAACAAGAGCCTGAACAAATGGATACCATTAAAATGCCAACCTTTTATGGGCTGCCTTCCCAACCAGCAGGTGACAGGGACTAAAAGCACAGGTATTTTAAAAACAAGGACAACAATTACGTACCGGGTCAAATCTCAAGCCACAGAAAGTCCGAGAGGAGAATCGGCCGCAGAGGTGTGCCATCATCTTGCCGGCTTGTGCGTGCAGGAGCTGCTTCTGGTGGATCGTGCCCATGAGCTTTGGCCGGGACGAACAGGGTGCCCGAACAGGGTGGGCGGTCCAAAGGGCCACGCACAGCTCTGCCCACAGCCTTGCCGCTTTGCTTGGCGCCAGGCAGCTCCTCTCTAGGCCGCGCTCCAGGCCAGGAGGGTGGCGACATCGGCACCACACGGTCCTTCGGTCCCAGATGCAGCCTTGAACAGACAGTCGCAAGGGGGGGATGCCGCTGCCCACCGCCGGGCAGGACCAGAGAAGGCTCGCCCCAACCATGGCCCATGTGCAACCCGGAAAGCGTGCCCAGGCGCCTACGCCCCAGCAGGGATGCGGGGCCTGCGTGTTGCAGGCAGGGGTGGCCCCGGCTGGCCTGCACAGCGGAGGCTTCCGGGTGTCCTGGGGTACACCCCCCTGCCCACATGCTCCTGGGGCAGCCATGAGAGGTCAGGCGGCAGGAGCCGACCGTCCTCGGCAAGTGCCGGGTCGCTTGGGGTGCCTGCATCGTTTGCCCCCCCACCAGGTGTACCAGAGAGGGAGGTCACCATCCTTCCCCTCTCGCAGGTGGAGAGGTAGCGCTGAGGGATAATGGCTTCCCCAAGCGTCCCACAGGGATTTTCAGCGGGGAGTGCAGGAGCCGGCACGGGACTCGGGCTGCCGTGCCACTTCCTACGGCCTGAATCCCAACCCCGTTGGGAACAGCTTCCGGCATCCAGCCAGACCTCCCGAGCCCTGCTGGGAGGCTGTGCCGCCGTCAGCCGCTTTCTCACAATGCCACTGCCACAGCATCACTGCGGCTCCCCCAGGGCCAGTGGCGCCCCCAGGGCCCGCTGGGCTCAGCCAGCCGCCGGACCTGCAGGTGCTTCGCTCGGGCTCCCGCCACCGGTACGCCCACCAAAGGGCCTGCTGACCGAGGATGCGCCGCTCGTGGGGAGGGGGCGCCAACTTGCCGCCGGCTCCTCTCTGTGGGTCTCGGGCACGGCCGGTGTTCCCGGGACAGCCCGGCCCACTCGCAGACCCCGCTCCGCCGCGGGAGAACACCAGGCGTCCTGGTTGTAGGCTGCGAAGGCGGCCTGAGCCTTGGCCACGGTAGCGCGGTCCCAGGTGGCTGCACGGAGCTGCCCCGTCTTGCTAACTTCTCCCCGGCACGATTGTGTTCACTAGCACAGCAGGAAAGATGTGCACCCGGTGGAATTACAGCACGGCCTCCCTCCAGGCACCTCCTCTGGACTACTCCTTCCGGGGCATCAGCTTCGTGCAAGGTACGGCGGAGCCTCATGGCCGGCTGCCCCCTCGCAGGCCGCTCAGTCAGAACCAGGGCCCCTGGGACAGAAGACAGCATGGACTGGGGGGCTCGTTTCACCCCCCCCCGCACCACATGCATTCGGGGTCGATGAGGGTGGGCAGGAGTGGCCGGCTCCCCTCCCCACTTGGTGGAGGTGCGGTGGCGCCAGCATCTGTGCCTCTTCGCGTCCCTGTATGGGGCACCCGCTCCTGCTTCGACACGGCAGGCCAGCGACCGCTCTGGGGAGCTGGGCTTGCCCTGCTTTTGCCTGGAGGGGCTCAGGAGGTTTCACACGCCTCGTTCACGTGCCGTCATGCGGGCGCCGAGCTGGCTTCGTATTCTGGCCGGATGGCCCTGCTGGGGACTCGCTGGGCAGGTTTGGCTCGATCGCTCGGGTCTGAGGCAGCAGTTGCTCCCAGAGGGAATTGCTGAGTGGGGTGGGTCCCGGGGTGTTCACAGCCCTCTGTGGGTCAACATGGAACGACGGCTCGTTAAAAGGGCAGCAGAAAGCACAGCTGAACTCGGAAGGTCTTCAGCCCCAGGGCATCCTTCATGGGAACCCAGGGCAGCAGAGCTGGCGGGCCGGATGGCCCCACTCCCTGCCCAGCTCAGCACTCCCATCCCATCCCATCCCATCCCACGCAGGGTGCTGTCCAGCGGTCCGTCTGAGTGCCTCCAGCCCAGGAGGACCCAAGGCCTCCCTGGCAACCGGGAGTCAGAGCGTGGGGCTGCCTGGCTGCCACAGCCTGGCCAGGGCCCCAAGCACCGCCACATCCGTCCCACGCGGGACCTGGGATCCCCATAGATCCCACGGCAGCGAAGCAAATGCCCCCAAAGGTAGTCATCCGTTTCCCTTCTCAGCCACAAGGTGGCCTGGTTTACACATTGCGACAACCCAGAGTATGGCCTGTTGCTGAATCCTGGGTTGTCATTATGTGCAAATACTGCACTATGGCTGAAGTATGGGTTATTACCCACAAATAACAGGGTTTACAGTCCATCAACTGACCACGGATTCTCTTCATGGTCAGCTACCCCTAGTTCCACCATACCGCGGAGTTCGGCCGTAACGCGCGATTCAGCCCGCACTCTGGTTTGTTGTTACCCGTGAACCAGGCCACTAAGGAACCTGGCTGCGGCCAGCACGCGTGCACAGCGCTTCTCGGCTCTTGCCGCTCGGCCCGCCCTGCTGACCGCTCTTCCCTCCGGCCTCTGCCCCAGACCTGCTGACGGAGGAGCCGCGCCCTGGCATCAAGCTCATCAAACAGACGGGCGCAGGCCGGTCGCTGACCCAGGCCATCCGGCTCAACAACAACACGCTCAACGACCTGACCGACTTCCCAGAGATCGTGGCACAGCTGGTGGAGTACCCCGAGGAGATCTACTGGATCGACCTCTCCTTCAACGACCTGCCCAGCATCGACCCGGTATCTCAGCCCTTTCCCTGGGCTTCTCACCAAGCAGCACCACAACTCCATCAAGCGTACCAGTAAACCTTCCAGATGGGAGGGCCTCCTTCCTCGCAGTGCTTTCCCCTTTTTCGAGTGTAAGCTTGGGGCTGGGACCGCCTCGTTCCTCACTGCCGTACGCTGCTGTGTGAGCCCCTGGCAGGATACGGCTCTGGCAGTTTGGCCGCCATCTCCGCAGTCTCTACCAAAAGCTCGAGCGCAGGAGCGGATGCTGGATCCCGCCTCTCCTGTTTTGCCCTTCTAAGCTTCCTGTCGCTGGTCCCTCCCCAGGTGCTCACCACCTATTACAACCTCCACCACCTCAACCTCCACGGGAACAGCATCCAGCAACTCTCCGAAGTGGACAAACTGGCTGTGCTGCCACACCTGCGCAGCCTGACCCTCCACGGAAACCCCATTGAGGAGGAGAAGGGCTACAGGTAACTTCCGAAAGCTCTTGGAGGGAGGGGGGCACACCCGGGGGGGGGCACCCAGCCACGCCACAGCAGTGCAGTCGACGTGCAGGATGTGGTCATGGCGGCAGAATCCCCAGCAAGCGGAGGAGCCTCAGCCCCAGGGGGGAGTCCAGCCAAGACACTCGGTCGGTCGAGTGAGACTCCGCTGGCCAACGCATCCATGGATTGAATCTGATTTAAGAAAAAATAATAGCTCTAAAGGAAAACAAAGTTATTTCTGAGATGCTTCTCTTGCGTTTGAGAGAAGGGGATTGTACGACTTTTCGAGGATGAGGAAAGGGTCTCCTCGTGAGGCAGAACGCTTGCTTTGCTCTGGGGTGCATTGCGACTGGCATCCTCTTGAACGAGGGCTCCACGCCCAGCAGAGGGAAGGGGGGGGGGGGAGGGCTTCTCAGGACCGGGCTTCTTGCCATCTGTGGCCGAGGCATCCTCTTGGCGGGCGGACAGGCCCGGAGTTGCAGGCCTCTGAGCCTGCATGGGGATTGCGCCCCGGTCAGCAAGCCCCTGCGGTGCAATTCCCCAGGCTGCAAAGGCAGGCCAAGGAGTGGAGAACTGCCGGGTGCAGTGCGGGGACAGGAGGGGCGGCCTCTTCTGCGTCTCCCAGATGAGCCGGGCCGGAGAATGTGCACCGGCGGTGCTGCGAGGAAGGGCGCCTCCAAAGGACATCGAGCTGCCCCACACGGAGTGGGGAAAGCATGCCTCGTCTGCGAAGGACGGTGCTGGCTGTGAAGCCGAGCATGGCAGCCTCCAGGCATGCGCTCCAGAAGCTGCCCAGAAGAGCAGGTGGGGAGCTCCCCCCGCCCCCCGTCTTCAACGCCCTCCAGCACCCCCAGGCTGCTGTCCCTCTTCTGGCGCCTTTCGCACGTCAGAACTGCTTGGCCAGCTCGGCCGGCTGCAGAAAGCACAGAGCTCCTGGAGGACGGCGACCAAGGTGTGTTTTGGAGGCTGTTCTGCTTCCTTTGAGACATTGCGCTGCATGCTGTGCCGCTGCCCCGAGGAGCAGCGCCTCCCGCCGAGCTGCCGTGCCATCCCAAGAATCCTTTGCCGGGACGCCGCCAGCAGCAACTGCCGGCCGCACTGGTCCTGCCCCATTCGAGCCCCGTGGCGTGGGAGCAGCCCTCGGGAGGGCCAGGCGGGGGGAACTGCAGCGTGGCCTCTGGGAGTCCTTCATGAAGTGCTTAACCCACCCAACCAATGTGCTCTTGACTGCCCAGAGGAAGCCAGCCCCCCTCCAAGACCGTGCGGTGCAGGCCCAAGGCATCGTCACCGCAGCCCAGGGGGGAATCCGTAGCCACTTGCAGGCCCGATCACCGGGAATAGGTGCAATGCAAGTAAATACAGCATTTCTGGTGGTCAGTGAAACCAGCATGACTGGCTGGCAGGGACACGGCGGTTCCCTATGCTCAGCTACAGAGAAAGCCCCCCATGCCCCCATGTCTCACAGACCAAGGTCCAGGCCGGAGCCGAAATGACTGCTGATTTCTGCCCCCCCACAGGAGCTACGTTCTGTCCACCTTGCCCCAGCTGAAGTCCTTCGATTTCAGTGGAGTCACGAGGCTCGACCGCTCGACCGCTGCCATTTGGAGGCGCATGAACATCAGGCCCAAGGTGGCCCGGAGGAGGCGGGACAATTACTGACCGCCACACGCTCCGCCTCTGCCCAGCGGCTGCGACCGCAGGAGGGCGGCTGACCTGTGGGGAGGCGGCGGCCTCGGCAGTCTGCGCCCAGTTAGGAATAAAAGGTTAGCGCAGCTTCGCCTGGCGGATCATGGAGGGCGACCAGAGTGGGAAGAGGCCGAGGGGAGCGGTGCCCTGGCCCGGCTTCCCCGCCCAGGAAGCGGCCCGAGACCCTGGACCTCCCCGCAGCCGGCAGCCACGCTCGGGGCCCTCCCCAGTACGGACTCCAGCTCTGCTTGCCATCCAGACATGAGGGAGCAGCCTGGCCTCCTGGGGAATCCTACGGAGGGGAGCAGGAAAGACCCAGAACCTGGGAGAGGGAGTGGGGCGGAGGAGGCGATGCCCTCTGGCGGCCACGCTCCGTGGGGGAACGAATGCGCACCATGCTGCTGTGCTGCCCTCCTGTTTCTTCACACCAACCCAGCCGCCTTCGCCATTTGAACACCGCCGAAAACGGGCGGTGCCGAGGGCAACCGTGCCATTTGTACCCCTTTGGCGGGGGCTGGCGGGAGCCATAGTCTGGGGGGGGGGGTGGCAGGCTGTGCAGCCCCCCCCCCGCCCGGCAGCTGCTCCACCCTTGCAGGAGACCAGGGCTCCCACCCCACCCCAGCCAGGGCTTCCGGAGCCGGAGCACCGCTGCCGTCCAGGAGTGGAACGAGCCCCCGGTGGGCTCTGCCCTGCTGTAACATGAACCCAGGGAGCCAGAGCAGCCCTCCAGAGGGGGACCCGGGCCCTGGCCAGCAAGCTCCACAGCCCAGCCAAAATCCACAGGAGCCCTGCTGGAGACCCAGCTTGAGGGCATGCCGGCTGCCCCCCCCCCCCCCGTTAAGGGGGTCTCAGTGGGGAGGGAAAGGGGCCGGCCGGCCACCTCTGAGCAGCTCGCCGGTGGCACACTCTGCTGACGAGGCAGCTTCAGGCTTCCTTGTTCAGCTCTTGCTCCTTTCCGCGGAGGTTTTGCGGGAAAGCGCGAGGGGCCTCGGCTTGCTGTCTACTGCCAGAACAAAGCCTCCCCTTACCGCCACCCTCCCCAGGCTGGCCTTGGCCGCTGCCACAGAAACAGGAGGGGAGAGGCTGGTCTTGGGTGGGAAGCAGCCATCAATGATCGCAGCGAGAAATTCTGGCCGAGCAAAAGGTGCAAGCCTCAGAGGGCCCCTGAGTGAGCCGAGCAGGCTCGTCCGGACAAGGAGGCAGCCTCTGCCCCAGCGCCCTCTGCCCTCGCCGCCGGGCCGGGCCGGGCTGGGCCGGAAGCTGGGTGGGGGTGGGCTGGAGCGAGCTACGAGCCACAGCTGCTAAGAGGGCTGCCCCCCCCGCCTGAGGGGCCACCAGAGCCCCAGGCCCACCGCCCCTTGGCTTAAAGGCACTTTTGGGGTGCTGCTGCACCGCTGCTCTCACAAGGACAACGGCACAGCCGCTCTGCTCTCTCCAACCGCAGTCACCGCCCAAATGAAGAGCCCTTGCTTGGATGAATGTATTTATATTTTGTCTACTTTAGCAAAAACAAAAAAATTAAAACAAAGTGACAGTTCAGCTAAGTAAAACAGGGCAGAGGGTTACACACCAAGGAGAGCACCAGGGCACCCAGTCCTCTTCCGCTTCGTGCTGCGTTTCCTTCTTGAAAAGATGTCCCTCCCCCTCCTAAAAAACCCCAAATATGGAAGGTAGCGGAGGGGAAACCCTTCCGGTAGAGAAAGTGGGAAGTGGCGGCCGGCGGCCTGCAGCGCAACGCGCTTCCCTTCCTCCCATCCACCCGCCCAGGAAGGCACCCTCTCGGCGCCTCCGCGGGCAGAAGAGTGACCCCGTCTGCCCCCCACCCCCCATCACGAGACCCACCCCTCGGGGGCCAAGCGAAGCCACCGCATTCTGCACCCCCTCCGTTAACCCTGCGTGCCCTGGCTCGCCCAAACATGCACCCCACACCGGGAAAGGGGAAAGAGACCGCGTGGATCGGCGTGCCCTCCGCCTCGGCCACCGTTCCCGGGCGCCGCCTCTGGCCGGGAACGGGCGGCCCTGCGTGCCTTGTCCGTACAAGTTCCACCGCAGTGGTGAGGCCGTTGTGGAAAGGAAAGAAACAAAAGTGGAGGAAGAAAGAGGAGCAGCTGAGTGCAGATCGGCGTCACGGGATCCCGAACTGTACCACCAGTTCTTCTTTCGCGTCCACGCGGATCTGGGAAAGGGCACTGTAGGCGTAGGCAGCTATCCGGGAGACCTGCAGCGGCAGCAAGGTGGCCTTCCTGGGGCAACGGCTCTGCAGGCAGCCAGCAGCCCCCTCGTGGCACGCGTGTCCGGGGGGGGGGCACTTGAGCAAGGCCCAGCCAGGGTGGCAGTTCAGAAACGCCGCGCGTCCCGGTGCTTCCTAGAACGCTGGGCCTCTCCAGGGCACCCTCGGGCCCCTGAATGGGGCTCCTCCACAGGGGCTGCCCCCAGCAGAGCCGTGCCCGGTGCCCTCCCCTCGCACGGCCCGGGCCCCCTCCCCGGGCTGGCTCCAGCCCCCTCCCGCGAGCACGCAGGGGCAGCCCCGGGAGAAGTGAAGGCGGAGGAGGGCAGGCCAAGCGGCCCCCGCAGGAGCCGACCGGGAGGCCCGCACCCTGCGTCCCCCAAGCTGCACACGCCTCCCCGGGATTCAGGCGCACTGGTGCCCACGCCGCGGGGTCAAGCGCCCAGCCCGCCTCCAGAGATCTCATCCGAGCGGGGGGTGCGTTCCCCCCCCAGCACAGAGGGAGCAGGTGCTCTGACTGCGCGGTGCACGTGCCTGCGCGGGGGCGTGGGGACTGGACCGCTGGGGGGTGCCGCAGCCCCGCGCCCCGGCCGCCGCCGGCCCACGCACCAACCTGTTGCAAGTCTGCAAAGGGCACGGGGTCGCTGGCGAGCACTTGATGCGGCTGGTTGGTCAGGGACGGGAGCAGCGGCAGCTTCTTCCAGTGGATCAGGTTGTTGCTCAGCATGGCCAGCCGGGTACTGGAGAGGCGGCAAGAGGGTGAGAAGGAAGCCTGCGCGCGCCCCATCGCTCGTCGCCCCCCTGGATACGGGACCCCACTCCTTAAACGCGTGGCACTTCACCTCTGAGCTCCCGTTCCAAGAAAGCCAAATTCAGTGTTAGAACAAAGCACGTTTTGCTGGTGCCGTCAGCAGAAGTTGGCAGCATTTGGTGCTGACGCAGCCCCCGGGAGTGGGAATCGGCCCCCGTTCCAAGGGAACAGCTCAGAAAATTGAATGAGCCCCTCAAGGCCTGGGGAGACTCGGGCCCAACCCAGACTGGGAAATGCAGGTTCGCCGGCTGGAACATTTCGCAGCCCTTCAGCGCCCGAGTCCAGATGCCGGGCGTCCCGCCATGGGCTGCGCCTCCTGCCGCACGGGAACAGTCTCACCGGTGGCCAGCGCCGTGTGCCGAGACGGAGCGAGCGAGCCGCCGCCCACCCCGAGTGGGCTGCCTGGCCTACCTGTACTGCCTGGCGCGGTCCATGTACTCGTGTTGCTCCATCTGTTGCTGATCGGCTGAAACATCGATGATGTTGCTGCAAGAAGGCGGATGCTGGGCTCAGGACTCATCCTGGCCTCCCCCACTGCAGGGGGAAGGCCAGGAGAGCAGAGCTCTGAAGCACAACCGGCGGAGCTCAGGGAGACGCGTCCCGCGGCCCCAGCCTCTCAGGATGAGGAAGGCACTGCCGAGGGGCGGCCAAACCGCCCCGCACACCACGCTTTCCGCAGAGCGGCTGGCCCCACGTCCGCCGGAGGGGATCCCAGTGGAGTGTGCCAGGGCCCCACTGACTCAGCCGGGGGAAGGAGGCTGCAGTGAGGCCGCCTGCGCCCGAGCCTGCAAGTGGCCTGCGCCAGCATCCCAGCCGCGAGGGACCACTGCAGAAGTGGCCTTTCGCAGGCACAGAATCACTCCCGAGGGGGCGCACGCCCTAGGGTGGGCCACGCACAGCCCTGGGAGGAACAACTTCGCCGAACAAGCCGCCGACAGCAGCCGTCCGGGGGCTGCAGAGTCAACCCCCTTCTTGGAGGCCTCCACGCTGGAGGAAGCGCAGGTTCACCTGCCCTGCCTCCCCTTCCTCCTGCTGCTTGGGAAGTTCACATGCAGGGCACCCAAAGCGGCAGCCCTTCCCCAGCCTTGCCCAGGCGCTGCCATGCAAAGGTCGACTGCCCCAGAACTCAGAGGTTCCGCCTAGCTCTCACAGGGCCCTAGAGCCACGGAATAGAGCAGGAAAAGCCAGGAGACCACCAGCTCCAACCTGCTGCTGGCACTCAGCTACACCATCCCAGCCAGATGACTGTCCAGACACTTTTCTTCATGGGTTGGCAGAAGAAAACTCGGCATGGCGTGCCCGGTTTTGGGCAGGAGGCTGGGCCAGGCGGCCCCACGCCCCCAGTCGCCCCCCTGGCCTTTTTCTCAGCGAACCGCTTACTTGACAGTCCTGGAGAGGATCGAGGTCAGCAGGGCCTGCTCATCTGTCCGGGCGGACGGCGGGCTGTAGCAGCTGGACTCTGTCCCGTTGAAGGACTTGCTGGGTGGGCTGGAGGCAGGTGGCAGCAGGGGCTTCGATTCCTCCCCCTGGGGCAGGAAAGCAAGAGGAGGGGGAACACGGAAATCAAGCTGGGTCTTGCGCAAGGTCTTGCCTCCGGCCAGCTGCCAGCAGGGAACGGGCAGACATCCACCCCAGCTGCCCGCGGCACACGCATGGGCGGACGAGGCAGGAGCCCCCAGCCACGCACGATCCATCCACAGGCCACCACTGCGGGCGCAGGGATGCCGCACACCCCGCCCCAGCCACGGCAGGCCTCCACACCGAGCCGACGGGGGGCGGGGCGGGCTGCCAGGTGCCGCGGGGCGTCCAGAGGCCCGGCCCGCCCCACGTTGACACGGACGGAAGCCTTTCCCTTGGCAGGATGCTGGCCGGGCACATCGCGTTGGCCGGCCACCGTGCGCTTCCCCTGGCGGCCGCCGGCCACAGTGCTCGGCATGCCCGGGGGGCAGATCTCCCCATCACCAGGGCGGGACCGCCGTGCTGCATCAGGCCACGGGTCCAGCGCTGCTCCAAGATCCCCGCCGGGAGCCCACGATGCAGGGGGGAGCGCAGCAGCCCCAGCCCAGCTGCTCCCGATACGCGGGGAACCCAGAGCCCCTCAGGCCAGTGGTGGCCAGCACGCCTCCCAAGGGGGCGCTGGCAGCAGGTACAGGGCGGCGAACTCCAGGCCTCCTACAGCAGAGAGCAGCGCCCCTCCAGCAGGACGCCTGCTGCCGGCCTCTCCAAACGGCCCGTTGGGCATCCTCCTCTCCCTCCCCTCTGGCCAAGACCGGGGTGCCCGCAAGCACCTCAGTTCCACGGCAACGGGAAGCTCGAAGGAAGCAGGTGCTGCTCCTCCCAAGGTCTCCGCCATCTGCAGGAGGGGCCCAAGAGCCCCTTCAGGATGCTGGGGAGTCGGCACTGCCTGGATGGGAGGCACTGCAGCGGCCACGGTTGTGTTGCTTTTTGAGCTCTGCCCCCCCCCCCGCAGCTGTCCAGACTCCCAGGACCTCCCACCCACCAGCCGCCACTGCCTGGCCGGCCCATGGGGTCTGCACGCCCCGTGGTGTGAACGGAATCGGGAACGGCCGAGGCAGAGACGTTCCTGGGCCCCCCCACCTCCCCTCACCTGAGGGGGAGCCCCGTGGCGGCCCCAGGCACTGCCCGGTCTGAGCACCCAGGGCAAGCACCCGCCCCCTCCGCGACCACAGTGCGGCCCACTCAAGGGCCACCAGCACCTGCCTTCTGCCATGGAGCACAGCAACTCCCCACACAGGGCCCCAAGCCACACGGGAGAGCGCTCTGCCATCTGCAGAAAGGGGAACGCGAGACCGAGCACCAGGCCACGTCCATGTCCAAGCCGCTTGTTCCACCTGGGCCTCTGAGTCACCTTCCTGGAGGCACCAGCAGTTTGCCAATCGGCTGCAAGCGCCTCTCCTGCAGCAGGGTGTCTGTTCCCACGGCAACGCCCCACACGAGCTCCTCTGGGGGGCCCGGGGACAAAGCCACGCACCCCAAGGTCTGGAAGCACCTCCTGGCCTGGGCAACGGCCAGGATGCCCAAGGCTTCATCACAGGACTTGGTCCAGCAGCCAAATCGGGGCCAAAGAGCGCGGCCCCGGCCTGGCTTGCCCCAGCCCCAGCCTCACATGCAGGCCCCCAAGGCTGCCCGCCGCACTCGGCTGCTCCACTCGCAGCAGCGCTCAGGCCCCGCCACACGCAGGCCCCGTGCGCACTTCCCGGCTGCTCCGTGAGCCACCCTGCAGGCCTCGCAGGGGCTGGATGGCAGACGGGGGTCTCCACCCCCCCAGGAGGCGCACATTACCTGCGCACAGGAACTCCCGGCTCTTTCCTGCAGGCATCGCTGCCCTGCAGGAGTCAGCAAGCAGCAGCAGGCCAAGCAGGGCGCCCCCTCACCCCGGTGAAGTCAGCAGGCACACGCAGGCCGGAGGGGGAAGGCCCCCCCACTCACGCATGCATCTGAACGACTGCCCCTCCCCCGCCCCGGCCTCGATGAACCGGCTGGCCTTCCAGCAGGGCTTTCGGTCCCGGGGGCTGTTTCCCAGGTGCTCCTCGAGACGACAGCAATAGTTGCCGCCAGGAATAGCAGCGGGGTGAAAAAGGAGAAGACGGACAGCCCGGACAGCTGACCGGGTGGGGCCTGCCAAGCCAGCCGAGGGCGGCCCGCTGCAGCCACGCCTGGAAGGCGGCCCAGGGACGGCGGCCCTCCGCCCCCGCAAAGCCGCTGGCCCCGCGGGAAGTGCCCGGGAAGGGGGTCCCGCACAAAGGCCGCCCCGCCGAGCAGGCGGGGCGGGCACCAGGAGGGCGGCGGCGCCGGTAAACGCCCGCACGCGTCCGTGCTCCATACACTGCTTGCCGGTCGCCACGGTGGGGGAGCGCGCCCGCCGGGCCGAGGCAAGCTCGGCAACTCGTGCTCCGACGAGCGCGAAACAGGCCTGCTCCGGGGGCGCGGCCGAGGCAGGGCGCCAGCTCTCCCCCAGGCGGCGGGGCCGAACAGCCCCCGCGCGCCCCGCCAGGCGGCCGCGGGACCTCCGGGCGCCCTCCCGGCCGCGCGGGCACAGCTGCTCGGGGGCCATGGCGAGGCCCGCGCGCCTCGCACTCCGCCGGCGCCTCCAGGCGGCGGGGCCGAGCCGGAAGCCCGGCGGCCCGCGG